ATCCATGGCCTTCTCTGCCCGGAAATAAAACACGAAAGGCACCACCTCGTGCCTTGCTAGTTCTGGGTCCCATGGACGACCTTGGGATCCAGGAGGTAGGGCTTGTGGCGCGTATCGATCTTTCTGCCCGGCACCATTTTCCCATGTCGATCTCGACGAACGGCCCGGGAAGGATCATCTTGAGCAACCTCATCGTCGGCAACCCACAGCTCCCCTCCCTCGAACTGTCCAAAGCTTACCGCCGCAGTTAAGCTCCGGGAGGCGTTGTGACAGTCCTTGTGCAATCCACTCTTCACATTTCTCAAAAGCACCACCGACGTCCATGTCAACTTTGTCCTTCATAAAGCGGCTGAGGTGGACTATGGTCTGGTGATAATCACTCACGTTGCGAGTGATTCCAGAGAATCCCCCATGCGCCCAGAGTCCGGCCAGATCCCCTGGACGTTCTTGTACTTGCTCTGATTGATATTGCTCTGCTTCTGGAGGTTCACGTCTGGGAGGTGTGAGGCCAGTTCTTCCAGCCCCTGAAAGGTGAAGTCATCCACATCGAGCAACTTCCTAGCCACCTGTTCACAGCTCTGCTTTACTCCGGACTTGCATGAACGAGGGCATCACCATCCTCATCCAAGGCACTGGCATCGCCACCACTCGTAGTTGTGACCTCCAGCTCCCCATCTAGCATCGCTCGAAGCTCAGATTGGTAAAGGTCGTGGTTCCGCTTCTCGTTGATCATAAAACCACACAACCCGGTGCTGGTCTCGACCAAGTCTAGACTGGTTCCCAACTTGGAAAATCCCACCTTGGCTGCCCCAAGATCAAGGCAAGCCCCAAGTCCTTTCAGGGCTCCTTTGCTCAAGGTCAAGAGCAGCGGCACGTCCTGGTCCACGACGCTGATCCTCAACCACGGTATAGAAGACGCCCCATCAAGGTTCAAGGGAATCACGATGCTGTACTTAGACGACACCCGTGGTCCCGCACCAAACCTGAAAGGACGAGCCTCGTTCACGTAGGCGCACATGCCCATGCCTCTCCAGCCACTGACCTCGCACAGCACGTGTCAGAGAGGGCCAAAAGGCAGTCATGCTCCTGGGAAATCGTATCCTCGACTGCACTCGCGCACCAAAACTCCCCCTGGGCATCTGGTTCATTGCAGACTGTCATAAAGATGTCTGCACCAAGACCGTAATCTTCATCTGAGTTCGAAAGATCCTCCTCGATCACGGCCATGACAAGCTTACCAGCGCCTGCCTTCTTATTGAAGGGGCACTCTGGGTCAGAGTGCCAATGTCCGTAGCTGGTGCGGCCGTTTGCTTTACAAGCACTGCACGGCCTCCTCTGCTTCAGCTCGGCAATCCGCTTGGCGCGAGCCTCCGCGGACTCACCCTTTCCTCCGCCTTTGCCTCCACCGGCGACGCTAAAGCCTCTTGCTTTTTCCACCTGCGCACGTTTCTTTGCGGCTTGCGTCAATAAAACCTGGAGCTCCTCCTCAAGAACCTCAGGAATCATCGCGTTGTCCTCATCGGCCTCGACGCCTTCATCATTCAGCTCCGGCTCGTCCTGTACTGTAACATGCACCTTGGCCGGTGACTTACGCCACTGACGACTTCCCCCGGAGCTGGCATGGTGGCTGTTATTGTCCTCCTCCTTGTGAACCTGGGGGACAATAGCCATAACCGCCGAGCGAAGCTTAGCATAATCGTATTGGCCACCAGCTGCCGCCACCACCTGTTTCCGAAGTTCACAAGAAAGCCCCGCCTAGGCCTTGGTGACACCACTAATGCCAGCCCCAATCTCTTCCAACCGCTGACCGTGCCTTGTGAACTCCATGTCATAGGCAACGAACTCTTGGCCCTTGGCTCGCCGGAAACCCTTGTAAAAGTCGGCCAGGCCAGAATCTGAAAAGTCCTCAAAAACTCCAGAGGCTCCAACTCTTTCCACAAGTGATCCATAAGGCGATTGACGCCTTCTGGGTGCTTCAAAGACTCCAGGAGGATCGACTCCGTGGCTAACCAAGCAGTCCCGGTTAATTTCTCCATGAGCTTTTGGGCCCTGTACATCGGATCTATGCTTGTACTGAGTTCAAACAGTTTGACGCGACGTTGATATTCACGCATAGGGCTGGTTCCGTCAAACTCGGGTATAAAATCTTTGCCGCTCGACTTTGTACCAGACTGCAGTTCCTTCGAAGACGAAGCCGAGGCATGTTCCTAGTCCAGAGAGCCTGCCTGCTCTGGCACTGTCCACTGATCCGTCTCCATGGTCGAAGCCGAAGTCCGCTTCGCCGTCTCTTCACCGCCTGCCCCAACTGAAGTTTCACCCGTTCCAGTTGGTCCAGATTCCTGCTGACCAGTCTTGCGCTGGCCCTCTGAATCCTCCCCCGCTGCGGTGTCCTGCCACGCGTTAGATCCCCAGCAGAAAGTCCACTGAGGTCGTTGCTGCCACCTTGCTTGCTGGGCATCTCGCCAGCTGGCTCCTGCATAGGAGCCCCATGAATGCTGCTGCCACTGCCAGGGATCGGCCTGCCAGTGAGAGTCCCACCACGGAGAGGACGTCCCACCTTGCCAGCCCCAAGTCTGCTGCTGTTGCCACTGCCCCTCGGCGGGAGCTTGCTGCTGCTCCGCGGCGGGAGCCTCTTGAGTACCAGGAGGAACCCCAGCACTCGCATCCGTCATCTTGCTAACCTGCTCCGCCTAACCAATGCAGAAGCCAAACCGCAAAACCACAGCTGCAACCATGAACCGCAACGCTCAGCAGCCTTTTCCGCGTGTACACCAAGAGCCAGTCGTGGCTGCGGAAATCTTGGACCTTCGTCCCTAAACTCAACTCTCAAAGAGGCTGAAAAGCAGTCAGGTCAAGCCGCATGGCACACATTCACACCTTCAACTTGGGGAAGTTCTTCTGCTTCGGGAACATGGAAAGCTTGGACAGCCGCTGCTGGCACATGCGTTCAATACTGTGCCTGAGATGAACATCCACAAACCTTCAAGTTATCCAATGGCTCCTTTGCCAGTATATGGCGACGTAGCAGCTCCATGGGCCAGACCAAGCCAAGCCACTTTAAATGGTATATTATCCTTATCAGCATAATATCCAACTGAAAAGCCTGTCTTCTGGAAACCCATCTGTAGCGCCCGAAACGACATCGGTTGATTCTTCCAAGGTGGTCGCCGCGCTTTCCCGGAAAGCGTCTTATTATCATCGTTTTTTCCAACATCTGCATAGCTTTCCTGGAAAGGCTCGTATCGTCGGATGGGTTCATTCCCGAATTTGCAAGTCATTTTCCGACAGCGTCCTGTCGTCTGGTAGGATCCATATTCTAAGATGTACGTACCCCAGCATGCAAACACATTGACTTGTAGACTGAGTTGTTTCTGCCCGATCTGTCTACCTATCTAGCTATCTATCTATCTAGCTAGATATCTACCGATCTACATTATTTCTGCCTGTAAATCTACCTCCCCACCTCACTCTTCTAAATATCTACCCATCTGCAGTACTCGATCGACTCATCCAATCTAACTAGGTCCACGGCTCGTATTACGCCGCGTACTAAACAGCTTCTCGGTCTTCGCGGAGATGCTTCGTACGCCGTGTTCGTACGGTTTTTCCAGAGGATCAGCTCTCCGACGAAGTTAATCGTGCTTTTGCCCTCATTTACGTGGGGGAACGATGTTTTGTATTGGTTTTTACGAAGCGAAGTAGGACTTTCGATGCATCCAGAACTACTTTGCAAACAAGGGAATGGTATGGGTTTTACAAGACAAACAAGGCGTGCATGAGTTGGTTTTCTCACAGCAGGCTTTCCAGCGCGTCGAGGAACTGTTTGGGCGTGCACGGTCCAAGCGACGCGCGCCAGTTCCACATGAACACCTGCTGTTTGACAGCAGGATTCAGAGCACTGCCGCCACCACTTTCAGCTTGGCAGACAGCTTGGGTGGCAAAAACGTCTTCAAATTGTGCCAGCTTCTGTCTAGCACCTGAGTTCCGGCTACACAAGAGAGGAGCACACTGCCGGGCTTTACACGCTTGCAGAAGCTCTTTGCCTGATGGGTGACATCTGAAGGTGAAGTCTCGTGCTGGCTCTTGCGCTAGGCCATCTGAAGGTGAAGTCTCGTGCTGGCTGCAGTGAGCAGACTGTGCCAAGCTCATCCAGGGGACCCTTGTAGTAACAAGTTGGGGCTGATGGGGTTGAGGATGTCACCCCAAAACCCCAAACCCTCAAGCCTCGACTAAGCCTGAACCCTGAACCCTAACCTCTGAACCCCAGACCCTTAACCCTGAACCCTCAATCCTAAACCCTAAACCCTGAACTCTCACTCACTCGCAATGCGGAAGTCCGGCGCGAATCCTAGCGTGCAGACCTGAAAAGTGACGTGCTGTACGTCACAGGCCAAAATGAAGTGAGACAACCAAGCAGGCGAGCAGCAAGCTAGCTCAGCGACCGCGTATGGTAGACAAAGGAGGATCGCAGCGCAAGAATCCGAGGAGAAGGGCCGACCGGGGAGGGGGCGAACAGGCGGCTCAACTCTTGACGCCAAACAGGCGAAGAGGAGGAAGCATGTTCGACAACAAAAAGCCGGCCAGGACCAGAAGGCAAGACGTGGAAGTGTGCCTGAGGCAGAAGCGAGCGGAACAAGGAAAGTCCAGCACCGCTGGGGACGCCGAAAATCCAGGCCGCGCCACGGGACTGCAAAGCATTGCACACGGTCCGGAAAGCAACAGAAGCCTGAACCCTCAATCCTAAACCCTGAACCCTCAATCCTGAACCCTCAAGCCTAAAACCTGTGATAAGGTTGCTGCGGATTTTGCTGGTTCAGGGTGATGTCCGAGCAGAACGAAACTCCCCCCCCCCAAACCCATCAGAGTCCGAAAACACCACGGCGTAATACACACCGTGGTCCAACTACTTATCTATCTGTTTCTCTATCCATCTAGCATCGATACATGTATGAAGGGCATAAGCTGCAAATCACCAAACACTGCCAATCTGAATTCACTGCGCTAGTCCTGGAGAGAAGCTCCTGCAGCTGGGCATCGAGTGGGTTGCCTCCGACAGCAACTGCTCTGATCGGAGCTGTGATACAGCAGACACAGCAAAGTCACAGCAAGCTATGCGGCATCTGCCTGGCCTTCGGCAGCACTCTGTACCTCAATGTGATTCAGCTTCTCTTCCGCTTCACGAGGACCTTGCTGGCACACGGCTCACACGGCCCCGTCGTATCAAGAAGCCGCCCCACATCTCTGTGCTCTTATCAGACTTGAGTTTCGCACGAAAGGGCCCAGATGCCACCTTTCGACTGTTGTAAGGGCTGACCTGGCCCGCTTGCACTTTAAGCGATGCTGCTGAGTACGCAAATCTCATACTGTGCCAGCGTAAATAAGATGAACACCACGGGCCCTCACCCTACATTACCCAGCTCCAACTGCCAACATTGGGCGAGGCAAAACAGCGCTAGAGCGGACCAATCCCTCGTGGGCAATCGCTTGTCCAGCCGAGTTCCTGGGCGAAGAGACTGGCTGGTCCGGTACCACCAACTTTGCTATTCCAGGGACAGCTTTCAAGAGTTTGCCTGCTCGGTAGCATACGCACTTGGCCCCAGCAGGGATCCGGGTTTGAGGTCAAGGCGACACGAAAAACCTAAGCTTCTCACCGCCCAGCAGGAGGCTGCTCGCTACCTCAAGGAGGGCGTGGAAAGACCGCAGCCATGACTGGATTGCAAACGTGGGGGCCTGACCTGCGTAGGATGTCAAAGGAGGCAACGCCTGCTGGATGGTCTTCCGCTTACGGTGATTCTCTTGTTCGGCTGCAAGACGACAGTTCAGCACCGGACAGGGAGGGTTCTTGATCGTTCTGAGAACTTGAATCTGCAATTCGGAGTGGTCGTTCTGTTCTATGCCCTTGAGCGGTGCGGGTGCATGCACTGCAGACTGATAGGCGTTTGGCTTCGCACCTGCCTGTTCGGGCTAATGCTTGTGCGGCAGAGACAGAGAGGTGCATGTTCAGGATAGGAGTTGCTTTCGCTCTTCGGAAAAGTTTGCTTAAAACACTCACTCGTCAACCACATACAGCCTCAGTAGAGCCAGCGCGGCGCTTACCGCTCACCCTTCAGGAAGTTAGAGTCAGCTAGAGGGTTACAGATTGGCCGATGTGCATACCTCCTTAGATTCGGCTCATTCGACTTCCCAACGCCGTGCTTGCCCCTTCCTTGAATAAAGCCATCTCCCGCCCTGGCCTGTGTCTGCTCAGGTACACCCACGGCACCACTTAGCCACGACATGAAGCCGCGCACCGAAGTGGCCTGCAACACTGCGATACTTTTGTCACAAGGGAACTTGAGAGCAGAGCGGCGCCTTTTGCTTCGGCTGTGGCACCACGGAGGTTGCATTTGCACCTCGCTTTCGCTTTTTCGATCTCTGAGCCGATGTCGAATTGAGTCTCCGAGGGCCTCCAGAGTCATCCTCTTCATCCTGAGAAGCGGAAGCCGCGCCGCCAACACACCCGCCATTTAAGGCAACCCAAGTACCCATGATATCGGCCTTCGACTGCCTATAGCTGGAGATGATGTCCTGTCAAATTGTTGCTTGCGAGTTTTTCTGTATCACCTTCTATGGAAAATCTCAAGCCTCTTGCCAAGGCCGGGGACAAGTCCCACCCGTATTGCATTAGACGCATCACTATGATGAAGCTGGATGTCTTCGTTTACTTGATGTCCTCCTCGGACGGGGGAGTCTGTCATGAGTCGACTTTGTCTGGTCCAGATCCCACAAGCAAGGATGGAGGGGTAAGGGAGATACCGGGGGATTGTGGAGGACCGCAGAGATGGATGCACAGGAAGTGCAGAATAGATTGCCCTTCGCTTTGCTAAGGAGCGGAAAATCAACAGCCTAGTTTGCAAACAGACGGATGCTCGCGCCGTGTCTCGTGCCACGAGGACTGCGCTGCTTCCTAGTTCACTACTTGTAACTCTGCGTTTCGTTGCCACCCCGGCTCTACCTCTTGCTGGATCTGACAGACATGGGAAAAGCAACTACCGTTGTCGGGTCCCTGATCCTTTCTGAGCTTCGAACCACTTCCAGGATCTTCCAGGCCACAACATGAAGACAAGCTTCGATAAGAAGGTTTGATGTTGTCCCCTCCTGCAGCCACTGGTAGCGAGGATCGATGTGCCCCTCGTTGAACCTCTGGGCTAGCCGCAGAGGAGCACGCGACAGGTAGAGCCGCTAGAAAGCAAGCGGCGCGCTTGCGAAGGCTGCTCGCGACTGCTTGCGACCCAGGCGACACACGCTGTCGCTCCAAGAGGAGCTGCCCATCCTCTCAACGCACCGTCGATGTGGGCTGCTGGCCGCCGTGGTTACCACAGAACTTCTTTTTCCCGCCTCTATGGTGAAGGCTTCAAGGGGCACCTCGTGTGGCACGGCATCGGAGATGGCAGATCAGCAAGAATCACGGAATCACGTGCTCTGTCCGAGGCCGAGTATCCAGATGGAAGTCCTTCCCACGTCCGTCAAAGGTCATCAGAGGACGATGAAGGTTTACGACTCAAGTGTGAACTCTTCTGCGGGCCATCACAGTAGACGTTTGCGCAAGCATCTTACCAGAAAGGCACCAAGGGCCAAGGATACGAGCCCTGCAATCCGCAACCCTCTCCAAACTCCCAACAGCACAAGGGTCACAAGGTGTTCTACCTGCAAGTTTACAGTTTACCACACTTTATCCGCCAAGGGTCGATGAACACACGAGATGTTGCAGAGTGCCACGCAACATGAGGGTTACATTCTTCAGAGGGAGACATGCTGTTCCAGAGGCGGATCGGCCTGGTACAGATCTCGGCCTGAAACTCACAAGATGTACCAAGCCACTAAGCCCTAGCAGCACTGGCAGCCCTAGCACAGGAAGGCCCCCACTTCTCGCGGCCGATGAGCGGCGGCGGGTACGACCGAGGAAGCCTTGGCGTGCCGTCTCTTTGCGGCCTTCGCGAGCAGATTCCATGGGTCGAGCCGGTGGCTCACTCATGCTAGGCAGATCCATGACGACTCGGATTGGTGCCCGATCCTCACAGTCACCAACATGCTTCCCCGCAAAAATCATGCCGCACCCTGCTGAAGGCCTCAGCCGAGCCGATCCTGTCTGTCTTCTGCTTGTCAGGAACCGAGGCGGCACAATCCACCACCTTCCTGGTCACGGGTGACAATAGACCAAACAACGACACAGAAGAGCAGAACACGGCAAACACCACGCCTACTCCGACCGCCAAACTCTGCGAAAGCGAGCATACCTCCCTGCCGCCACGTGAGGCCTGGGACCCGCGCCATTCTGACCAGAATTTCGTATCCTGTTGGAAAGCGAAGAAGAGGACATCGTACCTTGCTCGCGAAACCGAACTCGTCAAACTGTCGTGCCGTTGCCCGGCCACTGCAACAGTGTGGTGTGGTCAGGCGCTGGTCGAGAGGTAAATTAATTCAGAAGTGTAGCTACTCTCTGTTTCACGCCGGCAAATACTTCGAGCCCATCGACCGAATGTGCTCGGTATATCAAGGTGAATTCCGCAACATTTCACATCCAAAATCCGGCACGGCTGCCTTGAGCCGTTCGTGCCGAAACAATCGTCCGGCTGCTTCGTTTCCGTCCACAACATGGACTGGAATTCCCTCCAGCAGTGACCCGTGTGACCAGTTTCTTGATCAGTGCGGGAGCATCTTCTCCATCCACCGGCCAATTGGCAGAAAGTTGGCTGCTGGTTGGCTTTAATTTGGCTCACCATCTTCGAGGTCCTGTCACACTGAGTTCCTCTTTACCTGCGTTGTCCTGCATGTCGACCCACTTCACACAAGCCTTTGCTCCATTGACCGGTTTGCCGAGATGCACCATGCCGTCTGGGCAAAACCACGTATGACAGAAAGCCTGCCTACATTCTAATCTTCACTGGCTGGCCGCTCCGAAATCCTGACCAACCACTGTTGGGGTGGTCCAAGTAGTACCCCTGCCAACGCTGTTGCTCAAGAAATCGGCATTCTATGTCGCTAAACAGCAACTGCCACGTGTTTTCTGCGACCGCCAAAGCGGTCGCACTGTCTCGCTTTCTGGTGTGTCACGGAGTGAAGACAAAGGTTGCAGCCGCCAGGCTTGGCCCGATGTCCATTTCCTGAAGATCCTGTCGGGTCAGGGTCCGATTTGCCCTCGCGACACAGGCGGCGGGCCGAACGTCAATCAGGGTCGCGAAGCTCTGCGGGCTAGCGTTGCTGCAAAAGCTTGCTGGTCTGGCAAGGGTCTATGTCAGCGCAACTCGGCTTGCGGTGATGCGGGAGGACGACGGTCTGCACAAAGCGTTGGTACTGGAGACAACATGTTGAGTGGCAGTTTCGCGGAGTATGCAAGCCTTTTGACTTGCCTCTCAGATTTAATTAGCTTTCGGAAAGACACAGAGAGCATGAGCGGCATGTCGTTGAGAATGAACTGAAAGCTCGTAACTTTCCCATCTTGCCATTTCTCCTCTGCGCACCAACTCTTCGCCTGCCCTCGTTCCGGCGCCACCCACGGGAATATCCCAGATCTTCACCCCGTAGCAGGAAGCTTATAATTTATAACATATAACTTACAGTCGTCACAACTCTCCAGGCCGGATGGCGTAGCACTTGAGCTTAAATGGTTCGGGATTGCTTTTGCTTTGGCACTGCGCGCCGCACCCTGCGCCCCCCGCCCACTGAGGCGACTCTATCGACCTTACCGATACTCGAGCCCGATACCGCCAAATGTGTCGTGTTTCCTTCATCAGGGCTATTGCAGCTATGGTGGAGAGCTCGACCCTCTCCGTCGACGGGCAGTTCTCCGGCACATCAAGGCTTGGACTTCCACGGAAAGATCAGCGAAGAGTGGGAATATATGCATGCAACATCAAAGGCTCCAGAAGTCCCGTTCGCGGGGTTGTTCTATTTCTGGCTTGCTTGCTTGCATGGCGTGTGGGCTAGGGGTCCGAAGACCCTTCGCCCTGCGCTCTCGCGCTACGCCAAGTCCACGTTCGGTGTGTCGGTGCGAGACAGTTGAGTTCGGCACCAGCTGTGTCCCGGTGAATCTCCAACCCTCCCCGCATTTCTGTCTCTCTCTCTTCTTCTTCTTCCCCAGGGCATAGGGGACGGGTCAGGCCCCCCGGCCTATTGGCCCCCCACATATTGTGAGGCTTTCGAGGGGAGTGAAAGGTGTATTCGAGTTTCGGATATTTTATTTTATTTTATTTTCTGTTTTTGTTTTATTAAGACATAGAGTATGAACCCGATCCCCCGATACTCGAACTGACAGTCATGCATGGACGCCTGAATTGTGCTGCTGCATCTGTTGGAGGGATCAGCAGGAACCAAACAGCCAACAAATTGTCCCCCTTGTTTGACAGATGCAACAACTATGGTATGTTTGAAGAAAGGTCCCCGGATCTTATTGGCAAGTAGATACGATACGACTGTTGCAAGTAAATACGATACGATAAAGGCTGTGAAGGTGAAGAGGGGTTAAATTTCCCAGGGTACCTTTGTCCCCCTAAGCCTTCAGCAATCCACCTGAGAGGCTTGGGGCTTCAGGTTGAAATGTCCCTCTAAGTCTGGGCCCATGCTAATAAAAACGACGGTGGCTAACAAATACAAAACCACAACACTCTGGGGCCCAGGCCGAGGATGCTGGTCAGGAAGTCTACTGTATCCCCCGCGTGACGTCAATGCACTGCGTCCAAACAGACACTCCCCCGTAAACCGACATGGAACAAAACTAACAACACCGACAACAAACTAGCAAAGGCGCACGCCGTGGTTTGTCCCCTTTCTAATGTCAGCCTTTTCAGAGAGCATCCCTGAGAAGAAGCCAATACTCCCCTGTTTCATGGCTGACATGGCGGGGCGAGCTTGAAAAAGTCAGCACTCTGAGGTCCGAGCCAGGGTTTTGTTGTGGCCGACAACGATACTGCACAGTAAACCCACTGAGCTACAACAACCGTAGTAAACATCACAATCACACAAGTCCCCCCATTTCCCCCGGCTGGAGAGCGCACAGCTTATGTTCTCAGAACTTTCAGTAGTTGTCGTTGTGCGATCTCAGAGGGCCTTGTCCCCCCATGTGGCTCCAGCTCAAAGCCCTCCGTGCATGTGTTCTGCCAGCATTCGCCTTCTGCGGTGGCTACGATCGGAGCTGTCCCCATTGCTGGGGCTTCGAGGCCTTCGCTGTGGTGGTCCGCGGGGCGACGAGGAAGCTCTTGCGTTGTCCCCCATCCCATGATGTCTTTCTTGGTACCACCACTCTTCAGGTTGCCACGCTTCCCTGCCTGCCATGGTCTCCTCTGGGGTTTGTGCTGCAATCCCCCGCACCAGGTTCATGGCTGCCTCTTGGACGGTGGGCAGGACTCGCGGCGGCCACTTTTTGACATCACGTAGCATCCCCCGCAAGGTTTCCACTGCTCTGTACCATTCCGGGGTTACCTCTTCGCGCAGTAGAGTGCTGTTGGTCCCCCCTTCGCTGAGCATGACCACGTCGGCGGGGTGAGCCAGGGTGTTCCCCATGAGTAGGGCTTCCAGGGCTTCCGCCACAGCCACCAGTTTGGCCCACATTTCTGGTCCCCCTGGTCTGCCCTCCAGAATATCGCAAAGGATTTCTCGCAAGGGTGTAAGGATCGGAGGCAGCTGAATATGGACTTCCACATCCCCCTGTTCCAAGGTTCCGAACCAGCAGATCAGGGCTTCCACGTGGGGCGCTACCATGGCGTAGGGAATGATCACTGGCTCCCTGCTACGTAGGAGTTCCCCTGCGATGCTACGAAGTTGTGTGCTCGCTTGTAAAGCTGCGGCGGTGATGCTAGTCTGTGCAGATGTACTGCTCCCTCCTGGCTGGAGATGTGTTTGTTGGTGTGCTGTTGATAGTGTGTGTGGTGTCCCCTCGGCCTCAAGCTGCTGTGCTGTTGGAGTATCTATAAGGAGGTCGACTATGGCTGCTTCAGCTGTGGCTGCCATTCGTCTGTGCTGTGTGTCATCATACTCTTGTGCCATGCGTCGGATGTCTTGGAGTCCCTGTTCGACTCGCTGCCATGACCTGCTGTGGCTGTTGGATAATGTCCCAGGTGCTGCTTGTGTTTGTTGGCCCCCTGATTGTGTGCTTATCGGTGTTGTAGGGGGTTCGGGCTGTGTCAGTGCTTCGGCCGGTTGCTGTAGGTTGTAGGGCTGTGGGTTTGTATGTTGGTTGAGGTGGGTCTGCATGAGGTAGTCATCATCGTAGTCGTCATCTTGGTCGACTGTGGTTGTGGTGGTTGTGCTGCGCTCTCCCGTTGTTTGTGTGGATGTTGTAGAGGTGGTAGTACTGCTGCCGGTCCCCTGGGTTAGGGGGGGTCTTCGTCCTCGCCCGAGCTGACGTCCACCGCTCAGAAGTTCGGCGAGGGGGGTGCTGGCTTTGGGTTTGGCCGTGGTCTGGCTATCTGCTGCAGCTGGCTGCTGACTGGTGGAGTTTGCGGCACTTGCTGCGGGCTCGGCCGGTCTGCCGTCTCGTTGGCTCTTCCGTAGTTCGCGGCCATCGGAAAGAGTGTTGTGGTGGGCTCGGGGGGGGTTGGCTGTGGTGTCCGGGCTGGGTTTGGGCCTTGCTTGCGGGTAGTAGCTCTTGGGGGGTTCGTGGGAGGAGCTGGAACTGGTTGAGCCCACCTCTCGCTCTGCGGCTTCTGCTGCTGGGGTGTCAACTTGCCCTGCTGCTTCGTTGCTGCTTTCTGCATGCGCTCCTTGGTTACTCGAAGGGGGTGTGTGTGTTCTGGAATGCTTTCCAGCCCCCCTCGGTCCTGCTGGTATGCTGTTTGCGCACGGGCTCTTCGCTCTGCTGCGAGCAGGTTGCGTCGCCGCTGGCGGAGACGCATGACAGGTCCAGGGGCGTCTGGTGCCAGGTGTTCGATACGCATATGCCAAGTGCCATCCTGGTAGTCTGTCCCCTGGGACTAGGAGCATGGTGTCGGCTTCGTACGACTTGTGATCTGGTGCTTCCGAGATGTCCAGCAACCACATCTCCTGTGTGAGAATTTCGAAAGTTCCCACCGTTCCGATGGGAAGCGCTGGGGCTCGACTCACGGGTCCTCCGTCGCCTTCGATGACAGTTTTGGGGAGACCGGACGGTGTTGTCGGTCTGCCACTGCCTTTGTCGCGAACTATCTCAATCTGCCATTTCCCGTCCCCCAGCTGCGTCATTTGTGCCTCCGCCTGCTCTGACAAGGGGAGCCGGGGGGGTCTGCCGTCCCGGTCGTCATCGTCCTCAGCCTCTTCACTGTTCTCCTCGTCATCCCCCCCTTGGGGGGTGGCTGCTGTGGTTGCTGCTTCTGGGGGGTTGTTCCCCGATTGGCTTGGCTGGGCTGCTGCTCCGGGGTCCTGTCGTTGCTCTCTCGCTGTGGAGGGGACGAGCTTTTCCACTGAGAGTCTCCATCCTCTGTCTGTCTGGTGAGCCATGAACTGATCCCCTTCTGCTACGAGGAGGCTGTGTGGTTCACACGTGTCGAGGTCTGGCACGTATGTCACAATTAGCAGCCATTGGCCTGGCTGGGGCATGGGTGCCACCCGTCCTATCATGCCCGAGGGGAATGGTGGGGCGGATTCCAAGGGGCCACTCTGTCCGACTCGGACTGTTGCTGTTGTGGTTGCCGGGTTGGTGGCCCCCTCGATGCGAAGTTCCCAGCATCCATGGGTGAGGGGTCTGTATTCTTGGCTGCTCCCTGTGGCTGTAGAGAAGAAGATGGGGGGAGGCAGCTCTCCTTCAAAGTGTCCCGGCTGTGTCGACGCCCATTCTGCTTGTGCTGCTGCTGCCGTGTCTTGACTTTGGGCTGTGTTGGGGCCGGTCTGGGTGTGGCGTTGGGGACGGTGCTCGGGGGCTTGCTCGGAGAGTGTTGCGGCGGGAGGTTGTTGGGTCTGCTGGGTGGCAGTGCGAGGGTGTCTGGGCTCCAAGTGCTTGTTGAGTAGCCCCGCAAATCTCGCTTTGGCTTGTTCGTGTGCATATGTGGAGGCCTTGGTCCCCGGGGCTGGGGTAGCTTGTCCAGGGTCGCTGCTGCCTGCGGCTCCCCCGCTCGAGGTTGCTTCTGACGGGATTTGGGGCTTGTAAAGGATGCCCCACCCCGGTCCCCCTTGCCCTTGAGGGGGGGGGCGCTTCTGTCGAATGCCACGTTTGTTATGCTGTTTGTACGTATACTTGCCCGCTTTATTCTGAACACGTTGCGAGCCGTGCCCTGCTGTGCTTTCCGAACGCCGTGTTGAGCTGGTGGGGGCGGATTTGCTGGTCCCCCATCCTGGCCTCTCCCACGGCGGTTTGCTGGCTGGCTGACGAGCATCAGGGGGCGTCCCGTCGCCCGCGAAGGACGGTTCTTCAGCTGCTTTAGCTTCGCCGTCCCCCTGCGTGGTGGCTGTGTGGGGTTGGTCGGCCATCTGCTGCTGCTTGGTGGTGGTGTTCTCCTCCTTGGCTGCAGGCTCTGTTTGTTTTAATGTGTCGGCTGTCGCACTCTGCTGCTTGGCAGTTGCTGCGGCCGCTGCGGGTTCTGCTGCTTGTACCCATGTATCGTCGGACCAGGATGCCGCGTTGCCTTCTGGTTGCGAGTCTGCTGGGGCTGACGGTATGGAGTGGTCTGCTTGTCTGGGAGCAGAGGGGTCCTGTTCGCTCTGTCGTTGTTGCCCCCCCGATGGCTGTGATGCCAGGTTGGCGGGTTGTGGTTGCGTGTTGGCCCGCTGCTGCTGGGCTTGAATGGTGGGCGATTCAGCCAAAAGGGAGGCTGCCAGGCTGCCTGCTCCTGGGTGAGCGCCCATGGCGGGTTGTCTGCGAAGGCAGTGTTGGGCTGAGGGGGGTTGTGTGTGGCAGGCTCTGCCCCCCGGTTGCTTGGGTTCTGGGGGAGGGTGGGGGGGTGTCGGCATGCCATGGGTCAGTGTCTGGGTCATATCGCTTGGGGTACCTCACTGCGTGTATGCTCTGGTATTGCTCCACCATCGGCCTTGGGTGGTGGCCAAATGCGGGTTGGCTGGATGCCGCAGTGTGTGTGTGCTGTGCGGGGGTTGTCCCCCCTTGCCGAGGTAAGCCTGGCGGTGGTGGGAGTGTTGCTGTGTGTTGTGGCAATGGGACTGCGTGTTGGGGGTGTTGTTGGTAGTAAGGTGGGGGTTGCTGGGCTTGTGGTGTTTGTCCCCCAAACTGGTTTGGAGGGGGGAGTGGTTGAAGTGAGTGTTGTGGGGGTGGGAAGTTGATCGCCGGGTTTCCCCCTCCGTGCGGGGTTGAAGCAACCGCCGAGGGGGCCAAACTGTACCCACCCCACGAAGTTACGTACGCTCCATTCGATGCGGGATGGGTTGCTTGCCATTGGAACTGCGTGGCTGCATAGGGAGTATAGGCACCTCCCATGGGGGCTTGACTGGCAACCCAGGGTGGGAGCCATGGGGTGGGGGGGTTCTGGAGGATCCCCCCTTGTTGGTTGCCTGGTGGGGGGCAAAACTGCGGCGGGGGCTGCTGCGGCTGTGGGTGCTGGTTGGTGTGTTGTTGCGAGGCCGGGTTCCACTGCTGTCCCCCACTAGGGGGTGGCTGCTGCGGGCTTTGCGGGCTTTGCGAGGGTTGTTGTGCCGTTGGTCGGTTGCTGCTTGGGTCCGGGGTGTTCATCCCCACTGTGTACGCGAGGAATGCGAACGTCCACACTGCTGTGTTGTGTTGTGGCATGCCTGCGGAGGCTCTGCAGCTGCCGGCGTAGTTTGTTTTCGCAAGGGAGAGCTCCTGTCTGACTTTAGATCGCACTACATAGTTTGAGTTTTCAAGAATTCGAGCCCCCAACATGAGGTCAACGATCAGGTAGGTGACGTACAGGTAATTGAGGTAGTGCAGGTCGTACAGATAGGAATGTTTCCGCATGTACAGCGACATGGTATCGTAGGCGGAGTAGAGCAAGGCATTGGTTTGTGGCAAACGTAGAGTAGGACAGTGTTGTAAAAGTATTCGCCAAAGGTTCCCACGTGTTCATGTAATGCGGGGTCATGTGCATGTGCACAGGGCAGAGCCAGGCAGCGACGGCGAGGCCGGAGTCGTCGCACTGGCCGATGGCAAGTCCCCTCGCATTAGCTCTCACATCAACTTGTGGCACTGAGACTGCTTGCATTAACGGCATGGTCCTCAGCTTCAGAACTATCTGGCTTACCTAATCCTGAATGTACCACTTTGCATGCTGCCGAACGGAGCTGACTCATCAACGTCCCCCCTTCTCGAAGGCTTTGTTTGCGGCGGAAGACCTCCTCCGGTTGCATGTCTTTTGCACTTGTGGCATGTTTGCAAGTCTCTGCAAAGGGAGAGGCTGTCGTCTGCCACTGTCAAACATGGGCGGGAGTCATCATTCACAGTCCCCCTTTGAGGAGCTTTTTCCGGCGTGGGCGTTGCTTCTGCTTAGCGGACTGCGCTCTGTTTGGTGCGAGGTTCTCGATGGCCGATTGGTCCCCGCTTGCCCAGGGTACGTCGTATTTCTCCACAAAGCGATCCTCGAGACTGGCCCACAGCATTCTATCTGCTGCTTTGGTTTGCCAATCTTCCCCGGCAATGTCTGCGATTTGTCGTTCAATGTCGAGATGCGGGTTAAAGCGGCGGCTGTGGCGGTGTCCCCCCCACGAGGAGGGGGGAATTGTCTGTTCGACTCTCCACCATGCCAAATTCCGCCAGCGCAGCATGGCTGATGCGACGACGTCCCCCCGGCTTGCATGTCCGTGCAGGCTCCAGATCTGACTGAGGATGAACGTTGACCAGCGCTGGATGTCGTGCTTGTGTAGGGCAATGCGGGCCTGGCGGAGCGATTTCTTGTTCCACTCTACCCACTCATCCCCCACGGGCTTGTGAAGGTGCATGATGTCCCTGGTCTGGCTCAGCTGCATGACATTTGCACATCGGAGAATATAGTCACTGCATTGCCACGTCTGGCATGCCCAGAGTGCGCTCTGTCGCACAAGCACTGTGTGTAACTGCAGGCGAGATCTCAAAGGAGCTTTGGAGAGGAGCGTTCCCCTGTGCTTGCGGAAGGCACCGCGAGCACGAGACTGCATCTCTGCCACGATCATCGACGGGTGCCCTCGGAAGCTGAGGGGGCTCCCCAGTGCGCGGATGATGTGTTCTGGCCCCTTGGAGAGCACCTTGTCCCCGGAGACGTGAAACTCCACTCCCCCGTTCTGGTTGTCGATGATCTCGGTCTTGAGGGGGTGGATGTCGAGGCCTTTCTTGGGAAGGTTGGTTCCCATACGGTCCAGCATTCGCTGAAGGTGGGCGGCACTGGTTGACCAGAGGTAGCTGTCATCCATGAAGCTCCCCCCGTCTTCGGGGGGGGGCTCGTTGTCGGTTGGCTTGGTTTCACGTGCTTCCGCTATTGACTTTTCCAGGTCGATGGCGATGATCCTGCCGAAGGCGATGGGGCTGTCGGGGGAACCCTGACGAACTCCATTCGTCTGTGGCAGCTTGAAGTGTTCACCTCGGAAAACGATCTCGATCTCCCGAGCGTGGAGAAGGGCGGTCCAAGCTCTCCCCTCCCAAGGGGATTTCCCCCTGATACAGACGTCCTCCTCGATTTGTTCTGCGAGTGATTCCTGGTACACCGAGTCGAAGGCCTTGCGAATATCGAGTTTGGCCAGGAACATGGGAAGTCCCCAGTCGTGTGCCACACGGCAAAGGCGCCGCTAAATCAATATCAGCTCCACACCCTGGCGAGAACGTCGAGCCCACTGCAGTCTCGAGTCCCCCTGCACCCAGTGGGAAACTCGTCCAATGAGGAGCTGGGAGAAGGTTTTCAGGAGGGACGAACTGAGTGTTATAGGCCTCGTGTCGCTCCATGAAGTGGGTGCTCCCACTTTAGCCAGCAACGTGGTGATCCCCCGCTCAATGGATTCAGGGATCTTGGCCGTGTACAACATGTCACTGAAAAGTTCAAGGAGTCGACCACGCCATGGGTCGATCGTCTCGATGATTTTTAGTGCCTCATGTGATATCCCATCAGGTCCACATGATTTATTGTTTTTCCATCGTTTGCGGACCATTTTGAGCTCCTCTTCTGAAAAAGGCACCCAGGGGGTTTGCTTGCACATCCCTGTCATTCGCAGAAAGGCCGCCGAGAAACGTTCGCGGACATGCATGCCATCTGCTTTGTGGAAAATCCCCCCGAAATGTTCGGCGAGGGATTCTCGCCAGCGGTCATCCGACTTGAGTCTAAGCTCCCAGGCAGAGTTGTGTCCGTCATTGTCCACCGCTGCTTTGGCTCGCCACCACCCGGCCCCTGCCATGTCCAGCTTGGTTGCTGCCCACAAGCGGTGTTCGGCTCGGCGTTCTTTGGCAAGTTGCTTCCAAAGTCGCTTGCGCTCCTCCCCCGGCGGCAAGTGTAAGACCTGCTGCCTCATTCGGCGGACGGTCGCGCTTTCCCGAAATCTGTCGAGGGATTTGCCAGGCTCGGTGATCCTGTTCGAGATATCCGCAATGAGCTTTACGGGGTCCATGGAGTGAATCTCGAAGGTCTGTATGATCTGTTCCACGACGTCGGATCTCTTCAACCTTCGCGTACCCCATTTCTTGCCGGTCTCATCCACTGCTTGCGTCTGCGGTGTAGGTTGTCGAAGAGGTATGTGTACTGGTTCATGGTCGCTCCTTGCTAGATCCCGCAAGGAAAGTATTCCCCCCGGTTCGGCGAGAAGGTGCCGAGTAAAGACATAGTCGATCCTTCTCGGTCTCATTTGCTGATTGTATGGGAAATACGACGGCTCCTCGAGGGTCTGTTCTGGCAGTTTGTATTGTAGGGCGTTCATCGTGTCGAGAACCAGCTCCCCACGGGCACCGTCGCTGAGGATTCTCTTGCCTCGGCCTGGACGGAAACTCTCGTTGGCATCAAAGAGGCAGGTGACCCGATACCACTATACATCTGAAGTCAGCCTGCTGTACTGCGCAGCTGATCCCCGCATTGAGAAGCTTCGCGCGGGTGTGGCTGAAGACGTTTGTGTGCACCACCCCCGTCCCCCGCCATTCCCCTTCTTGTTTGCCTGCAATCATCTGGAGGTCTTCAAGCTCGTAGTCAGTCTTGCCTTTGTCGACAATGATCTCTTGGAGGCATACCACAAAGGCTTCATGAAAGGGATGAATTCGTTCTTTACGAAGATCCCGAAGAAGGTGAAGTGCTGCATCTGGTGTGAGCCCTCCAACATTCCACGAGAAGGCTTGCATAGTCCCCTGGGGGGCGTCCGGCTCCAGGGGGTGAATTGGCGGCTCGTCTCAGTTGAGCCCCTTCTTCAGCTCATCCCACTTGGCCGTGAGCGAGCTGAGAGACATTCCCATTTGGCGGGCCAGGGTGGGCAAACAGACCCAGCCAACCCCTGCTTTGTCTGCGTCAGGCGGGGCCGTGAGAACGGCGGATGCCACTCTGACCTGGGAGTACCAGACGTTGCCCGTGCCAAATTCGACCTCTAGGTGCTGCTTGTTGCCATTCTCCTCAAGGATAAGCCGCTTGATCTTCCCCGCGAACTGTGCCCTGCGACGTCGTTCAGGGCTCTCGCTCATGGCTGCCCACATATGTCGGTCACTCCCTTCGTCACGTCGACCGGTGATGATACGGGCTTCCCTGACTCTCTGCAGGGATTCTCGGACACGTCTTCGAAGACTGAAGGCATCTTCCCCGGTCTTGGCCTGGATCGGGACGATAGCAAATCCCCTGCGGAGTCCAGGCACAAAGGCCTCGTCTAGATCCAAATCGCACTGCAGCTCGGTAAGACAAGACGTAGCGTGTCCACGGCGCTTTGGTCGTTGTCCCATCCCCCCACCACGATGGCAGGGCGAGGGTTGGTGTCGGATCCCCCGGAGTCCGTCTTGGTGCTCGTTGTGGAGAAAGTCGCACTTGCAAATTTGCCTTCGAGCAATGCCATTCGTCGAGAGAGGTCGTCGTTGTTGGCCGCCACTCGACCGATATTCCGTTCAATGTCCACATGTCTGTTCGTCATTGCATCCAGGAGTTCTGTGGTCCTTTTGACATGCTCGTCCATGTTAGCTTCGACCTGAGCTACACGTTGTCCTATCCCCGCGATGCTCTCATGGATCGTCTCTGTGATCTGCTGCTGGTTGATCTGAAGGGCTTGTTGTAAGGCTGCCAGTGTGAGGGGAGCAGAAGCATCTCTGTCCCCCACCTCCATTTCTTCACGAACTTCACGAGCGCGCTTGGGGCTTGCTTTCGGTCCAGGAGCGGGGTTCGGGGTCGGGCACGGGGGGGGGTTCATGTTTTGTCCCCCGACTACGGGTGCAACTCCATCCAGGCTGCTTGAGGAATGCATTCTCAATGTCCTCGTGGTAGGTAACACGTTGCACAACGAACTCACTCTAAACGACCCGGCGAGGTAATGCAGGGTCCCTCC